TCTCTTAATTTGGGTAGTGAGATAGTTGTCTTGGATCCACCTAGGGTTGGTGTTTTTTTTCCTAATTAAATATTGGCAAACATTGAAAACAATTAACTAGCAAAATGCAGGAAAGAAGGGGCATGAAAAAACAGTAAGGTTTTTTTTTTTTAAAGATGATTTCAAATGAGAATCTGCATACTATTTATGAGGACCCAGATTGTTGTTGGGGGCAATATGCTGACTCTGTAAACCGCTTAGAGAGGGCTGAAAGCCCTATGAAGCGGTATATAAGCCTAACTATTGCTATTGCTATATATGTGGATAAGGAGCACTGGACTGAATAATTAGGGCCAAACTAGTGCTAGCCTGAATTTCAATAATTCTAGCAATGTGTTCATTTAATGCTTATGAGCAGAAGCTGAGTAAAAATTTCAGCAGCCTGAGTAGATACAGAACATGTCTCTTTCTCACTTTGTTGCAGTGCTGTCTTCCCATAACCGTTTTATGTACACTGCAGTGAAATTCTCCACTGGGAAATGTTAAAATCAGAAGAAAAGTCCTTAGGAGAAAATAAATACGGTTGACTTACCTTTGCTGGCACTAATTGTCTGCAGGACCATTTCAGCAGCCCCTCGATCATGGAGTCTTGCTTGCTGGTACAGGAGTTTTTGCTTTTCCATTTCTTTTTCCTGAATAAAAACCCCAACCATTTAAATTGAGGGCTTTTCCTAACATCTTTTCTATGAAATTTTTCATACCAGAGGGCTCTATAGCAATTTAAAATTGAAAACAATTGACATGATGGTATAATATCAATCATCGCTTTTACCATACATTTCACAAAATAGGCTTTAGAGTACTTTTTCCATGTAGACTTTAATCAACACAGAATTTATGGTCCTTATATATTCTTTTTCTCAAAAGCCTGCGTTCTACCTGGGGTTGACCTATTCATATTATCTAAAGAATATTCAGGGAACTCTGCATATGTGGCCCAGCAGGTGTGCAGAATTGCAACTCGCATAATCTCAGCCATCATGATCAGAAATGGCAGATTACGTGTTGCAGTTCAGCTCACCCTGCATTAAATTATAACATAGGAATTGCTTAAAACAACCAGCTCATGAGTCCTAAACAAGAAACTTTATAACTAAAGCATATTCCATTAGACCTATTTAATAAAATGCAGATTTACTGAACATATAAAGGTCAGATTGCATAACTTTCACATTTTATATTAAATTAAATTAATTAGTTAAATAGGCTTTTATTCCAAGTTAAATATATAGGTGGCTAGGTTCCAAATCAGTCATATTTTTATCCAGGAAGTTATTCTGAAGCATAAATGGTTTTTTTAAACAGAGCAAAATGTATTATGCATTTTTTTTCATCAAACTACTACTGAGGGTATCTATGACTGAGCATTACTGCATGTTTTAAAAACAAACAAAAAGTAGATAGGAACAAAATGTTGATGTTGATTTTCTGCCATGATTATTCAAAAATCTTGTCTTCTTGCTTAAATGTCTTCTTGTAAAATATTTTTTAAAGAAACACAAAACATAACTGAAACATCATTTCAATGAAGTTGCAATGTTACTTCAATGGCATTAAAAGATCTTCATGCATTTTATCTTCTTAGTCCCAAAAATATTTTTTACTTTCCATTGAATCGAACATTTCACTTATCTATGGGGATGTTTTTTTGAAAGCCTTAGGTTTAAATCTTTCTCTTTTTAGCTTTAGTGAACAGAATTGAAGAAATGATGAAATTGGAAGAATTAAGCATCCAAGACAGAGGCCATTTCCCTTCTAGTGATTTATAGCTTATGGAGTATCACTCAGCCATTGTTGTGCTAGAATAGCAGTAATGATGACAGGCTTTACATCATTTCAACAATGTTTGCCATAAAGACACTATAAATCATTAAAGAAGAAATACAGGGGGCTATGGTTCATTCAAAGGAAGGGGGACAGGGAAATGAGGAGGAGAGGGGAGGGGAGGAAAGGGCATTATTTTGATCCTAATCCAAGCCAGTGCTTATTTCTTTTGTAGGGAAAACTCTGATCTAGCAAATTATCTGGATGTAGTAAGAGAGTAGCGATCTTAGCACTTTTCCCTGCAATCCTGTGCAAGCCTATCCTTTGGATAGTTTATGAAGAACATGAGGAGATGAAAACAAAAAGGAGCCATATGCAAACAATACCTCTCTCCTTACATGAATGGGAGGCCCTCAGGAAGATAATTCCATATTTAGTCTGGATCTACCCTGAATAATTTTGCTGATAATATAAGATGTAAGGCAAATAAATAAATAATAGAAGAATCTATATGTTTCATCTTACAGAACACAATCTCCAACTGTCTATAATATGAGAAACATACACAAACACATACCAACACAGATACTGTACATAGACACACAGAGGAAAAAAATCAGACTGGAAACACATAGACATAGTGACAAAGAACAAGCACAGGTGATATATGCATGTAAATACACTTTCCAGTATTTCTTCTGCTGCAAGTCTTACATCAGTAGACTTAAACATTTCTTATAATTAAAATTCAACTGTAAAATAATATACAAATTATATATAAACGGGTAGTTTTATAATGACTCAACAATTATGGCTACTTATTCCACAAAGGTGTGGAGAGTCATGTTTGGTCAGCATGGACATTAGGCAGGTGAAACATCCATCTCAGGCAACAGTTAAGACAAAAATGAAGCTAGATGTCAGAAAAAGTGCCAGGATAATGTGGCTGAAATGATTATTTTGCACCTTCACTTGGCTTCTCATAACAGGCTACAAACTGTAATGGGTGGTTTTGATTGAGGAGTCCTGAGGATCAGTAAATAAACCAAAAATACCTTAATACTCAGTACAAGCCAAAAATCTACAAAATACAGGGCATAGCAGAAAGAATATCCCAAGCAACCTCTATCATCTCTCTCTCTCCCTCCCTCACTCTCTCCCTCCCTCCCTCTCTCTCTCTCTATCTCTGTGTGTCACACACACACACACACACACACACACACACGTAAGAACTCCACAATGCTTTGGATTAGTTCTTCAATTAATTCTGATTTTAGTCAATAATTGTTACTGTAGACACAGTTTATATAATAATATTCTTTATTCATCTCAAGAATTCAAGCTTTATTTTTTAAAAAATAAAATTTATAATTAGTTTATACTGTTTAAGGTTAACTTATGGAGGGGGCTCATTTAAACATATAAAGAAAAATGTGGTGGCTAACCTTACCAGAATGTCAGCTTATAGTGTAGATGTAGGATGCCATACTTGCATTCGTGTTAATTTTATGGTTCCATTTGTAAATATATTATGATACATATTGATTTTATAGTAACTGGTTTTTTTTTCATTTTAGCCTGAGTGTCATTTTAATTGTGACTGATTCACACACCATTGGGGAGAAATTGTTATTAATGTTTTTTTCTTTGTGTGCTCTGTAGCTCAAAGATAACAGCTACAAGTTCTTAAAACAGCTTGGCTATGCGCAAGCTTTCACATACATCAAACATCTTTGGGAAATGAAATTTGAGGCATTGTGCAGTATAAGGGAGAACAGATAGTGAGTTTGAGGAAACAGAAAAAACATGGTCAAGATGAAGTAAAGTGCAATAAAGAAAAGTTTAATTCTAATTCACGACTCTGTTGCTAATGAGAGCACAGAAATAAGGATTAATTAGCAACAATAAATCAACCAGCAGTCAAGAAATACACTATAGATCTGCACTTAGGAAAGCAGTTATGGAGGCTTTGAAAGTGATATTATGATGTCAGGATATAACAAAGATCAAACTCATGTAGGCAATGGCTCCCTCTATGACAGTCTATGGAGGGAAAGTTGTACTTTGAAGAAGCAAAACAGAAAAAGTATTAATGTTCTTGAACTTTGAATACCATGAGAATAACATGGACAGCCAAGAAAACAAGCCAATGGCCATTAAACAAAACAATCCAGAGTTCTCATGTCAGACAGAAATGAACATACTAAAGCTATCATACTTCAGGCACATTGTGCTTAAACGTAGCTATCTGAAGATATCTATACTGCTGGGAAGGGTGGAAGGAAAGAGAAGAGCTGACCATCTACAAATAAATGGTTTCAATTAGTTTCCAATAGCTGCATTATTGGAAAACCTGAAGGACCAGGTTGGAAATACTGGAGAAAAATCAATCTATGTGATCAACTAACAGATGAGACTAACTACAACAGGGGTGTCAAACTTGATTTCATTGAGGGCTGCATCAGGGTTGTGTTTGACCTCGGTAGGGGGATGTGGGGTATGGCCGAGGGCATAGCCATAGGGGGCATGGCAGGGGAGTCATGTTGGGGGCACCTGTGGTGGCCAAGAGCTAAGGAAGGACTTTCCTGAGATCCTCACTCACTTTCATTATAATCTCCTTCATTCCTTCCTCCCATTTCTTCCCTTTCCTTCCCTCTTCTTTTCTTCCTTCCTCTTTCCTTAGTTTTCCTTCCTTGCTTTCTTCCTATCTTTCCTTATTTTTGTCTTCCCTCTTTCCCTTTCTCCTTTCCTGTCCCTTCTAGCATGATCAAATGCAAAAGGGGAAACATTTTTCCTTTTTTGTTTTTAGTTTGTTTTGATAGCCCTCTGCCAGTGAAACTGGAGCCTGATAATTGTTCATGGTTTTTTTTTTTAAAAAAAGTGCTTCAACATAATTTATAATCTTTTTTTTGTCCCTGTAGTGATTCATTGTGGCTTTCGGAGGTTTTCTAGCATCCCAGCTACAAAGAACCCTTCTTATAATTTATTTCTGTATGTATGCATGCCTTTGACTGTAGACAAGTTACTGCAATTTTCTTAACAACATTTTTTGGAAGTGGCTTTGTCATTACCTTATTGCTACAGCTGAGACAGAATGGCCCAAACTGACCCAAATAGCTTTATCTCTCAGGCAGGACTAGAACTCACAGTCCCCCAGTTCCTAGTCTGGTACATTTAACCACTGTATCAAATCTAAGTTTTTTTAAATATCTATCTTGAGTCTGGGAAGTAGACTCTATATCAAATCCTCACCTAAACTAAAATGCATATGGTATTACTAGAATGGGAAGAAAATGAATCCCTGCAGAGTGTTACAAAAAACCCAATTCATCTTTTAAATTAGGAAATACATAACCAAGCCCCAAATAAAAGTGTAACATTTACAGAAATATCAAAGCCCTTTGGAAATTTTTCTATATACATTCAAAAACTGCTGGGAGGGAGAAAATACTTTGGAAAACTAGATGCAATACTTTAATGCAAATATATACATATTTCATTGATTTAACACCATAAAAATCTATCATTTGAAACTTAATTTGCATATAAAATATAGCTCTTGATATGGTTTATAACATTTGCAATGTAATACTACATATATATATNAAAAACGTTGTTTTTTAAATACCTGTGTTTCCCTGAAAATAAGACAGGGTCTTATTTTCTTTTAAGCCTCAAAATAAGTGCTTGGCCTTATTTTCGGGGAGGTCTTATTATTTTTGAGGTGCAGGAGGTGGCGAGCGTGGTCATCTCATGGCTGCTGCTGTATTGCAATATTTTTTGGGAGGGCTTAGTTTTGGGGGAGGGCTTATTTTAGCACATGCACTCAAAAGCTCGCTTGGGCTTATTATCCTGGGAGGTCTTATTTTCGGGGAAACAGGGTAGCATTAATTAATTAAACTAGCTTTTAAAAAAATAAAAAAGAGAGTTAAACAAGACAGATAAATAAAAACAGTATTTGTACCTGCACTTTTTCTTGCACATCAGGTAAAGGAGGTAAAGAAGGACTGCTCAACAAATCGCTCAAGCCTGCATTTGGATTATGTGGAATTAGTTTATACTGTCCTCCTTCTCGTTTTAAATCTAAGCCAAAAATATCTGAGAGGAGGTCACTATCTTCTGATAGAGCTTTCAGATCAGTCAGGTCTTCTGCAGGCAAAGCAGCTTCAGCTGGCTTCCTTTCTACTTCTTCTCCATCGCCACGGACCTCATCCTGAGTAGGATCAGGCATGTTAGCTAAAAGTTCGGCTACTTTAATTTTCTTGGCTCCTTCAACCAGGCTCCCTCCAAGCAGCAAGCTGTACATGATTTGAAAGAAGCCTCTGAAGACACTTGATAAAAAATGCATGAAACCCATTAAAATGGTCCAGTAGGAAGAAAACAAAGCCATGACCATGTCCTTCATGGTCATTTTTTTCATCTTCTTCATTTGCTTCTTTATACTTTTCATGCTTAACATTTTCATCAGAGTCATTATGTTATGCCTGAGGGCTATTAATGCTGATGTGATGGTCACTAGAGAGAAGAACCCTATTCGGGGGTCTTGCTCTTCCAGCTTGTCATTTTCATTTTCTTCTTTGTTCATAGACCGCTCGTTCAGATCTGATTCTGAGATCTGAGCAGCCAACTGCATTTCAAAGATGGTATCTTCACAAAAATTAACGAAAAGTTCCATTTTTTCCTTTTCCCCACCTTCGTTTACCACATCGAAAATAAACTGCCTCTTTGACTCTTTAACCTGAGGTTTCTCCCACTGCGTCCGACTTGATTCACTGATCTCAAAGTAAACTCGTTCAATGCGCTTTGCGCTGCCCATTATTTCTATGCGTCCTAAAAAGGGCTGGAAGTAGTTGAGAACACTGTTTGCCAACTCAAGGAAAGTTTGGAGTCGCGTATCATGGGGCATGTGCTCTGACAGGTTTGTCAGCAAAACAGCAACATTGAAGCCAATGTCTTTAGCTGGCTCATGAAATCGTTTCACAAATTCCTCATAGTCCAAAGTTTCATTCTCATCTGTTTCAGCACAGGAGAGCAGAAACTCAGTTTCCGATTGAGTATAATGTTTGTGGCTCTCCATCGCTTTGTGGAAATCTCTCTTGGAAATAATGCCCTTACCATCTGGATCATATTCTTTGAATGCATCAGAGAAAGTTAAATCCTTCAGTTTTAGAAACATATCAAAAAATTTTAGAATCATTTCTACATTGTTGAACGATTCCACCAGCATGTCAACCATTTGCTTGCCGATTGTTCCATTCACAACATTACCTGAATGCGGGAAAGTGTGTCAATAATCTTATTGACTGACTTGTTTACTTTAAATCGTCTAAGTAACACAAAGAAATATTATAAACATTGAAATTATACTACAAATCTGAGGACAACAATACTGTATTTCTAAATATCATTTAGAAATATTTAGTTAATATTTAGAATTGACCAAACATGAAGCAGCCTGTGTTTTTATTTCAAGCTTAAAAGAAAAGTATTTAATAATTACATTACATTGCATTTCAACTATTGATGCTCCCATTTCCCTGCTCTGAATTACAGAGTGCATATCATGGCTGATGGGCTATCAGGAGCTGTTGGTGAGTGGAAGTGGTCACAGCTGGTGGTCAGTCAGACACGAATGCTGAGAATCAGATAGAGATTACCATGTTTCTGTACAAACTTTGTGGTTATATCTTTATACAAACATACTCTCACAAAGAGGATGCACAGGGTTAGGGAAAGGTTTATCATGCTCCTATCATGGTTCCAAGGAATTAGAATTCGTTGTTTAAATTCATTATAATTTTTGTAGGTTAAAGGAGCACAGTTCAAAAAAAGGCAAATGATTTGTGTGGACACTTATCCATGTGTGCATGCTCATCAACTACACTAGTAGGATCCATTTTTTTGGCTGATGGAGGGAATTACACTTTGGGGCAGACTGAAGGTTTCAGGGGTTGCATATGATACACAGATTACAATTACAATAAGCTTTTATGAATACAAGTATCACTATTCCTTTATCCCAAGAAAAGCCTTCTAAAGAAAGCTTTTCCCTTTGAAATGAAGGAAAACTTAAATGGATCACTCAAGATCAGCATTAATAAAGGGACTAAACTGGTAGCCCACTGAAGAATCAAAAGCATGGTAAATTAAGTGGATCCAAAATTGTCGCCAGCACATTCTTGAGTATTCTACTTATAATCTGTCACCAGCAAAACAACCACTAGATATAACCCAATTCCCTTCTATCTATACAGTACTAAGGTTACAACAGTAAGCTCTTTAGATCTATCTGGCTATACAGTACTAGTGAATGCCATGCTGTTATTTTGCAAATAGATCTGTCTGCCAGAGAGGAGTTGTTTCACACTATTTAACACCCTTCCCCACCCTTAATTAATCTCTAGAAAGATGTAAATGTGTTTCATTTTTATGTACCTCACTAACATCAGAAAATGTTATTTTTTTAATTGATTACCAGAGTTTGAATTTTTCCACAGTAATCTATACAAATTGGCAGGCTGAATACTCTCTCAGCCAACTTGCTGATATTAATCCTGCTTTTGCATTTCATTCATTGACACTACAGTAGGCAGGAAAATGTAACCTCTTTCTTCCCTCTTGTGAGCCTAATAAATGTGTATTTTTAAGATATATTTTGCACTTGGAAGAAACACCTCATAGGTGCAATTTGAAAAATAACGTAATAAAATGTGTTTAAAATTATAATTTTAAAGTTACCTTCCAACATAGATAGCAGCATGACCACCATATCTTTCTGAAGGTCCATTAATTCTTTCAGTAATTCAATTTGACTAGAATCCTGTCAATATAAATATAAGATACCCATAAATCTTTTTTTTATGCTGCAAGGAGATAAAATCTTATTCCTGCCTTGCCATAACTTATAAGAAAAGAAGAGGACATGGATTTTCAAACATTACTTTAGGAATAATTCATGTGAAATTGTTTACATTAATTTCTTCAAAGACTCTACATCTTGAATCACCCAGAGAACAACTTTCTCAAAAAAAGTGACAAATATCAAGAAATGTACCAGCTTTAACCCCAGTAAAGCCTATCTTTCTGAATCCTTCCAGGAGTTCTAATGTGCATAGTTCTGCAGTTGTTTTTCAAGAGTTCATTAGGTTATACATTTCTCCCACTAACATCTAGCAACCTAGAATCAAGGAGAAATTTCCTAATAGTGAGAGCAATCAACCAATGGAATGGCTTGCCTTCAGAAATTGTGAGTGCTCCAGAACTGGAATTTTTAAGAAGAGTCTGTGCAGCTACTTGTCTGGAATAGTATAGGGTCTCCTGTTTGTGCAGGGCATTGGACTAGAAGACCTTCAAGCTCCCTTCCATCTAAGTTATTCTTTATTTCTGTTATTTTTTTAAACGCTGTCCCTACTAGAAATGAGTATTGAACTATTTGTTCTTCTCCTTTGGTATAAATCAAATTTCATTACCCTTAGCATAATACAATCCACTTGTCCAATCTGTTTTAACAATCAGGTCCAAAGAGAGTACTAATTCATAGTGTTATAATATTACTGAGAGGCCATTAACTGAACAAACATTCATTACATTTTCTTTAATTAAACAGGAGTAACCAATTGCATTAAACGTCATTCTGTACCTGAGAGAGCTTCATCTGCATGTGGGCAAAGACATGAAGAAAACCAACCACAGCATCCCAAAGCCTGCTGTGTGCAAGACTCTGTTGATTACCTGTACATGGACCCTGGAAAAAACAAACGACAACCTCAAAGAATAAAGAGTATACAACAAAAAAATCACCAGGAATCAGGTGGAATATCAATGTAATGAGTTATTATTGTGAATATGGATTTAATGTAAATTTACCTTCTGTCATTACAAAATTTATCTTCTGTTATTACAAAGCAGCAATCAAGCCAAATAATAACACGTTATACAACATTTAGTTGTTTTTCATTTATTATATATTTCTAAATTCAAATAAAGCCCCTACGGATATTCTGTGAAAGTCAGCCTTTTCAGTCACCTAAACAGGAAGGGCAACTTCAATTTGGCATTTATCCAACCAAATAAAAAGCCATTATATTATGCAGATGGGTTCATTTACATGTGGAGTATACAGATGTATTTGTCCATTTATATCTAGCGTCAGAAATAAGCACTACATTAAAGCAACTGTTTAATTTATGTGAGGGCCAAATAAATTATGTAATCGTACTAACGATCTAAGTCAAATCCAATAAAAAATGTATTATAGTCAAAGACCAACACAAAGTGATTTCCAAATAAAATGGCACTGGTTTTAAATTTTGTATTTCCCAAAATCACTAAATCTTAAAGAATGTCAAAGAACACGCATAGGCACGCGCACACACAAACCAATGTACAGAGTCAATATTAATAAAATAAAAGATCACAATCCTCTTTGATTTTTAAAGATTAAAGCATCAATGGGAACAAATTGGTTTTGTCATTACTCTATTCATCATGTCCATGTAGCCATTATAATTAGTTTTAGACCTTTGAGAGTCAAAACCCTCTACCAGGAATGGAATGCTATATAATTAAATTGTATAAAACTCAATAGCTTAAAAATTCAGTATTAATATTAATGACTGTGTGTATCTGATAAGTCCCAATAAGGATAAAAGCATTTGTAGTCTGCTTCCTGGTGGACTAATGCATAAAACCATAGGAATACATAGTGCAAATGGTCACTCTAGGATGGTATACATAGAATGTTAGTATGAGTGACTGACATAAGGTCTCTCTTTCTCTCTAATCTGAGAGTTTAACCAAAGACGGTGTATACTACTTAACAATTTGAAGAAATTCTAGCAACTGGATAACTCACTTAAATTACTTAATTAGCACTCAAGTAATTTCAATGAGTTATCTGCCTGGTAGAATTACTTCAAACTGTTAAGTGGTATACGTGTTTTTTTGGTGCATTTTAATTAGAGACTATTTTCATATTGCTCACTTTGTGGAAATTAGGAGGTCACCACTTGCATACCAGAACTTTCTCCTCTTCATTTGTTGACAAACATGTTATTCCCAATTTATTTATTCGATTCTTTTAGAGGTCCATGACAGGGTCATGAAATGACGTGGAAAAGCAATTTATTTACCTGAATATATTCTGTAAGAGTATTGAAGACCTGCTTTGCAACTTGAATCGCTTTAGAGAAATTACGTTGTCCTTGTTCATCAATAACTTCCTTTCCAGAATAATACCAATAGAAATCACTAATTGATTCCTAAAATTGGAAATAGAAAAAGATAAAATATTTTTTCAAAAAATATGCATCTGGAAAATTTGTTTATAAATTCTCCAAAACTGTGAGACAGATTAATATTAGAAAAAAAAATATTCTGTAAAAATCCCATCAGCTTTAGAAATTCAAATAAGGTCCACTTGAATCTTTACACATAGGAATCATGAAAACTCAGATTGAAACTTCAACTTTCATTTGATTTTCCTGCTGTTACGTTCTTTCCTGTATGTAGGAGAATACAAAAAGCAAAAAGGGGTAAGGGAGGATGGGAACGAATGCTTATGAAAATTTTGTACAAACATGGGAGGAGACTGGATGACTGTTGGAAAGAATTTTGCAAAGGGTGTCACCAATGTACCTAAGGCAATTAAACTTTTTTTCTTTTTACTGCTTTCTTGTTCCCATATTTCTACTGTATCTTAGAAGAATAAAGGAGAGGAAATAAGCATTATCAATCTTGCTTTTTGATATAAAATATTCCAGTGTGGAAAAATATACATAACAGTGTTACAAATTAGCAAAATATAATAATAGTGGGGTGTATGTGTGTGTGCACGTGCACGCACACACACACACACACAGAGAGATAAATAGTTTTTCATTTTTTTCTACTTTTACTTTTGTGATCCAATTTCAAATTTGGGTTGTTAAGGAATAATTCTAATGAAAAATTTAAATCATGCTTATGTACAGTTTTCCCGTGACCCGACAAAAGCGCGCCGACAAAAGCGCATCACTAAAACCGCGACATCAACGCGCCAACAGCGCATTGACAACAGCGCGTCGAAAGAAGGGCGATTTACAACAGCGCGTCGACAGAAGGGCGATTTAAGTTAAGGTAAGGGTTAGGTTTAGGGTTAGGTTTAGCATTAGTGTCACGTTTAGGGTTAAGGTTAGGGTTACGTTTAGGGTTAGGGTTAGCGTTAGCGTTAGGGTTAGCATTAGGTTTAGGGATAGGGTTAGGTTTAGGGCTAGGGTTAGGTTTAGGTTTACAGCGCCCTTCTGTCGGCGTGCTGTTGTCGGCGTGATTCAGTGCTCATTCGTCGGCGCGGTTCAGAACTCGCGGTCTTGTCACCGTGGTTAAGTCGTGCGTGCTTTTGTCGGTCGCCATTTTGTCGGTGAACCCAGTTTTCCTACTACTGTACATGTATTCTTGCTTTGTAAAAGCAAACACTTAACAAAATTTAGAAATATATGGATGCTTATGTATTGCATAACTATTCTCCAGATCCCATAGGTTTGAGTTTTAATAATTAAAATGTGAAACTCAATAAATTTCTCTGCATTACAACTTCAAAACCTACTAATTAATACCCATACATTTATTCTTATTGCAAAAATAACATAAACTTTAGTGAAACCTTACAGTGAGTGATATTTTACCTGAACTCTCAATAAATAATCCACAGTTGATATGATAATGTTGACAGTTGTATTATTACCAGTCTGAGTTCTCAAGTAATTCTGAAAACCTTGGAGAATAGAATGAGATGGAGTTAACGTTTGTCCTAATCTCGAACTTCTTGAAAATTATCTATATCATAACATGCTTACTTGTATGTAATTAACTTTTTCAATATATTAATTATACCTACCAAACCTATTATTTGGTTTACAAAATTAAGCTTTCATCATTATTTTGGTATTTTAGAGCATTGGATGCAATAGAGGAGGAGGAGAACAAACCTGAATTATGACCTTCACAAAGCAACTGAAGGAACCGGAAGAGGTCACAGGTAAATTCATCATCCTGCATCACCTTTTCTCCTGTGGAAAAGTCAATCCCAATAAGTATCATAACAAGATGCCAGGTAACATTAGAACATCACATGTAGCACTTGTTGCTTTAAGAATTATAGACATAATTACATTTTGTAACATTTTCCCAGAATCAGTTCCATAGTGTTTTTATTTGGAAGTAGGTATGTTCATTCATTATGAGAAAAAAAGTAAAATTTGAAAACACATCTCCCAAAAATGTAGCAACGTGAGCTTGGCAACATTTTAGAAATTATCTCTCATTTTAATTTTGAATTTGTGAATATGTAATATTGGGAATCTAATGTTTAGGATCAGGTAAAAGGAGTGACCTAAGGATGTAATCTATAGATAGATACTGGAATAAGCAAAAGCTATTGTAATCGAACTAAATTAAGCTTATTGAAAATTTGCTTAGTTCTAAAATGCTTATTCAGGAGAAAGTTACTGAAGCCAATGAAATAAAGTGATATATCTCTAATATTGTTTTTATTCATGAAAAATAAGAATGTAACTGAATACTGATTTCTAAATAATGCCCGTTTCACTATTTCAAAAAGGATAGAGTGCTCATAGTCACTCATGCCTTAGTTATCTCCTGAATGGGTTACTGCAACCAATTCTACATGAAGCTGCCCTTGAAGAGTATTCAGAAACTTCAGCTGGTATAAAATATGGCAGTTACCTGCAATTACAGGTGCCGGTTGTTCACCACAAGCTTCAATGTTTCTCTGCCCACTTCAAGGTGCAGAGAAGACTGTTAAAGGCCTTCATGCCTTGGGGCTGAGTTATGTAAGGACCATACAGTATCTCCCCCATGGTGTCTACCCGTCCTATTAGATCTTCAGAAGAGGCGTGCAGCCTTTTTTGCTGTGGCACCCGACCTCTGGAACATCAGTCTCCCAGGAATCAGACTTGCCCCAACAATGCTAGGCTTTGAAAACCGAGCTTTGTCATTGAGCTTGGAGTCCTGATAGCAAGACTGAGGATATGCCATGGCTTGATTGAGCATCTGTGAGTCTTCTCAACTCATTTTGTCTCAAAATGAAAAGAAAATATTTTTGTCCTTTTATTCTTTAATTAGTCTTCTCTAATTAAAGAATAAAAACAACAAAAAGCAACCAGAATTAAAAACAAGGAGTTTTTCCCCGAATGCCATCACTCTGCTAAACAACTAATTTCCACAACACTGTTGAATTATTTACTGTATTTACTAATAAGACTGTATTACTATTATTCTTCTCATCCTTCCTAGTACTTCTCTCTTCCCACTTATGACTATAACCATGTTGCTTGTATCTTTACAATTTATATTGTTTTATTTGTTTCCTAGTACAATTTGATTGCTTATTAGTAACCAATGACTATCACTAAGTNTAAATAATTTCTGCCCAATTTAATTAAATGTCTTGGTTTTGTACTTGTGGTGTCATCGTTGGAGAAAGAAATGAAAAGATGACCCACAAGAGAAATGCTGAAGAATGACAGCAGACACAGGCCTGGCTTCTAATATCTTTTATCTAGATGAAAGATCAAAAAATACAGAAAACAGCAATTCACAAACAACAAAAACTCTATAAGATTCCTCTAATGGCTCTGCAAGATCTCTCTTCTCTGCTGCTGACAATGCGGCATGCTACGAGCAGAAACCTAGCAGAAAGACACCTTGATTTCAGTCATGTTTATATAGCTATAGAATTTACTGGAATTATACTCTAAAGCTTTGCTGGCTGAGGAATTCTGGAAGTTGACATCCACAAATCTTAAAGTTGCCAAGATTGGAGACCCCCTGCTCTAAAGCTAAGCATGACTTCATACTGAATATTTTGAGAAAAATCTTGAATATTCCAGAACAGGCTTTTACAAAACAATAATTCAGCCACGTTCACAGGACTATAATGGAGACCCACACATCTGCCTTTTCAAGCCTAATGTGATTTCCCATGATGTCCTTCATCCATAGAATCTTTTAAAGAGATAAGGTATACTTTTGATTGTTTTAAATTGGGCAAGAATTTCAATCCACAATATTATGTGTTACTATTTGCTACAATATCATGAGAATCAAGTTACAATGAGGAAAAATGAGATTTGTTTTCTTTGCCACAAATTGCTAGTTTCCTACAATAATTTCTCATCTTAACACCCCAGTGTTATCTCTTAGTCATTGACAAAAAATGCTCATTCCTTCATTAGTTGTTATAAGTGGAATGCTCTTATAAATTGGGAAAAAAATACTAAATATTTAAATGCTTTTTTGCAGCTAGCTAAGAAAAGACAGTTTAAAGAGCAACATTAAAAACTCATTCCCACACATAAATCTTGCTTTCATATTGTAGGATCACTACAATTTTGTTCTCAAAGTACCTATACCATTTTTATTAAAGATTTATGCAATTTTCATGTCTTTGTTTCTATTGTCAAACACTCTTTTGCCGTGACTAAGGAAATATTAGTCAGAGCAACTTAAGATTTTCTTTCTCATGCATTTGCCATATCTATAACCTATAAAAAAACCTGGAAAATCAGATATTTGCAGAATGTTCTAAGTTTCAGTATTGTAAAAGTTCAGTAATGATTTAGCATGAAGACATATTATATATAAGAAATATATAAGACTTTATTGGGCTGTAGGCAAATTATTTTCTTGAACACATTATATACATAAACAATATTGTAACAAGAAATTACATGGATTAAGATGGGAATTTCAAAGGTGCTTTTTCAAGAAGCAACTGGACTTTGTTGTTCCTTGAAGACGTTTCACTTCTCATCCAAGAAGATTCTTCCGTTCTAATGGTGGACAGTGGAAAGTTTTATATTCCTTGCAGTCATGTGGTTGTTAGCATTCTTTCTGAGAGTAATTGGGGCCACTTGGAGGTTTATCTGTGATCTCACAATCATTTGAATAGTGAAAAGGACCATGGTTCCTTTGTCCATAGTTCCAAGAAGGTTCTATACTCATTTGCACTATTCAGTCAGAACTGAAGAAGCTTCTTGGAAGTAAAACATCTTCAAGGAAAAAGAAAGTCCAGGGATTTTGGGGGGGGGGGGGTTGGGGGGGAAGTACCTTTGGGACAACTGTGATCTGGATGACTGAGAATCTCCATAGACATTAAGATTGGAAATAAGAAATATCTTTAATTGCTGTTCAACTTTCACTGTAATCACTGTACTTATATTAACATTAGTTTATCAATCATCTAGCATTTATTGAGTGTAAACAAAAAAGCTTCATCCATCATAGTCTATTATGATTGGCCTAAAAATAAAAATTAAGATTCTAATTACAGCATTGGGAAGTCAGGTAGAAAACTGATCATTTAATTGGAAAATATTCTGTTTTGGGAACTGCAAAGACTTTGAAGTATCAAGGCTGCTTAAGAAAACCTGTCCAAGATGTTGAGTCTAATAAAACTACAAGTCACAAAATTAGCCCCACATAAGCACACAACACATTATTTTACCTTGCTGCGTTGAGATCCTGTGACCTTAAGGAAAGGTGAGGATAAGAAGTGAAATAGCAATAAGAAAACTGTCCAAAGTACTCTGACGATAGCTGATCAACTAAATGCACAGTCCAAATTGTAGTTCTTGAAGAACATTTGCTTGATTCCCCATATGTTTCATGATAACTTAAAATTTAATGCAAACCCCAGAAAAGTTTCAACCTGTAGGGCTTCATTTAACATTCAAATGTTTCATACATTTTCTCCCTCCCTGCAATATATTTCTTATAGAAACCAGGAGTGCCCAAGTATAGATTTATTTAACAGTCACATCACATTAAAGATATATTTTATTCATCCTCTTAGCTTTTAAAAGAATCTGATATTTAAAATAGTTTCAACAATTTTCAGCTGAACAAGCTCCATAAGTCTTACTTGATAACTCTCAAGTAAATTCTAATTATATGAATACTTTTTACTAATAAGGATACTTTGAAAATATACATGTCTTTAACAAAGGTTTATAATAATTTACAAGATGGAAATATAGTGGCAGGTGAAAACGAACAACAAAAAATATGTACTTCCTACACAGACAAGAGTGATTAGTGGTAGCAGACACAGATGAAGGGCAAGGACGAGAATACCAAAGCGACAAAGAAGAGTTCTGAATACAGGAAATTTTAATTTGATTTATATTTTATGTTATTTTTTACGTACACTAAGGGAACAGCAAAATTAAAGCTTTTCTCCTTATTACAAACAAATATATATAATTGCAATGACACATATAATCAACCTTCTTATAAAACTCAGTGCGTTAAAATAATAAGAACAATCTCTAATCTATCATAATTTATATTTTGCTTGCTCCAATATACTTTTCAACATTATGAAGAGAAACAGAAATTCTTACTGATTGGCAAAAAAAATGGGAAGCATCTGAGTACGTAATTAAGCTTTTTCCATTAATAAAATTAAGGTTTTAAATTGTTATTACTTGAGTTCTATAGAGATCCCTGTGTTCCTTTATACATCAAAATAAAGTATTTTATGAACAAGTGTTTTCATAATTCATGAACAAGAAATTCAGTGTAGGGCAGCATTTAACTTTTATAATTTAATAAGTTATTAATAGAATAAATTTAGTATAAATAAGCAATTTTATAATTTGGTTACTTGTAGTTTTAAAAAGACTTTTTACACTACATTCATTAGAAATGAAACAGTTCAAATTCTGCTTTAAAAAACCCAATACTTCAATATCTAGAAGATACATTGGAAACACTGATAGCTGTGCCATATCAGTTGATACATTCTCCTATAACTGAATTTCAGATTTGTTTATGTCAATTGTCACTGCTAATTTGATAACAGATTGGATAATAAATAACAGAAACGAAGTGCCATAAGTGTACTTATGTACAAACTGTGACAACTGACTCATCACAGAGCAAGTAAGTGTAAAATGTTTCCACTTACTGGCAAAAAATGCAGAATTATAGTGAGTGATTGCTGTATAAATTTATAGGAGTGATCTCAAAAGGTCTTAGATCCTATCAACAAGGTAGTAACTGAATTCATTAAGATGATAATATCTCTTCATCTAACCCAAAGCTCATAATCACAATACATAGAAGTTTTTAACCCAGATTTTTTTTCAGTGTCAGCTACTTTGCTCATAACTCTACCAAGTGGTTAAATAAAAAAATATTTTTTGCTTCATATAGAATATAGAGGGGCTGGTCTTATGATAGATGGCACATATCCAAGAGGACAAAATACATGAATGGCAAAGCAAACTTGAGCCATTCCTCTGGGTATTATTATCTTGATTTATTTGAGAAACACATATTGTATATGTAAGATGAGATATCTGGGGAATGGGAAAAATAAGAGGGTAGACAGAATTCACATTTGTATGTTGGACTTAGATAATTTTACATTCAATTATGTAGAAATTGAGGTTACAGATTTGGCTGTCTTTATTTACAGATAGTCCTTGACTTGCTACCACAGTTGAGACCAGAATTTCTATTGTTAAGCAAGCCATTGTCAAGTGAGTCATGCCCGATTTTATGACTTCTTTTTGCCATGGTTGTTAAGTGAATAACAATTGCAATTGGTAAGTGGACCACACTTCCCCCATTAACTTCCCCTTGGTCAAAAGCCAACTGGAAAGATCGTCAAATGTTATCACATGATCTCAGGAAACAGCAACCATTGTGAATATACAGTATGCCAGTTGCCAAGTGCCTGGATTTTGATCATGTGAATGTGGGTATGCTGCAATGGTTGTAAGTACAAGGACTGGCCATAAGTCATTTTTTTAGTGCTATTGTAACTTGAAATGATTGCTGACTGAATGGTTGTAAGACAAGGATTATCTGTATATCTTTATAATAACAGGTAAAGACTGTAATAAACTATACGGGAGGGAACTCTTAATTTAACACTTTTAAATGATGCAAATCATAGCGGCACTTTTCATAAATATCTAACCAGAATCACATAATACTGGTTCACTAGCATAGGTCTCTTAATACTATTCTTTAAGTTAGTCTTACCCTATAAAATCTTTTACATGCTGGGTATAATATACTTTAATACCTAGCAGTAATCACTATGACCATCAGATCATCAGACTGATACTACTTAAATATATTCAGTGAACAAAATCCATAGTCAAGTATTTGTCTTAAAAGTTTCAAACAAGACTCTGTAAATTATTCATCAAAATGCTTCTCAATTGTTATGAAAGTAATGGAAAATACTTTAACTTAGAAATTTAATGTGGTCAGATTTTTAGTATTTTTTAAATAATGTTTTACTGTTATCAGAATAATATTTTTATATTTTACATGTTGAAAAGCATGAACAACAAATGTTGCTACATGAGACACTATGGAATAATGAACAAAATAAAAGATTGAAGTACGCAGTATTAATCTTACTTCAAAGCTCTTCACTTCCTCTTCACCATCATTGTTATCTTCTTCATCATGGCAGCTCTGAAAAAAACAGTGTGTTCACAAACTTTTTAAAAATTAAAATATCTTTGGTTTCAATATTATTTCTGACTCTTATTAAGGTAAAATAAAGCAGAGACTTAAATTGCATACGTATCTTGCATAACGTTAAGGAACTGTTGACAGGATGCTTTGCTGGGTTTGCTACATTATTAGGTTCAGCTGTCAAAGTTATGGTATGTAGTTAATTCCCAACAATTACTTAGAATGTAACAGTTTTTAATGCCATGGGACAATTATATCCCCAAGACTGCTGATGCATCTAGCTCATCTTACAGCCAAGAAATGGTGGACAGAAGGAATCAGATTAATAGGTGAATCAGCAAAGAAGAAGGGGATTTATAATGTTCATTTGATTAGAAAGTATTAAGGTTTGTATTTCAAGTCAAGTAATGATTTATACAAGTGACAAAAAACAAACTTATGGATTTTGATGGAAAAAATTACCTTTGCCATAATATCAGCATATGCCATATACAAGTAATCTTCGTCCAATTTACTGTGTTGTAGAAAAAAAAACCAGGTTACAATTATCATTCTAGCTGTTCTGTATCTACAGTAAAATTTGCATGCATAAGAAAGTATGATAAGGCTAATGAAGGGAGATATACATATACGTATACGTACACATACATACATACATACATACATACATACATACATACATACATACATACTTACATACAAACAAACATATATATACACACACACATACATATATATATAATTATATTATATACAGTATATTATATATTTNACTATGTCATTTTATCATTATGCCTTTTAATAAACTGCTACTTAAAAGGCCATCATATGTCACTTCAGTTGATATAAGAAAGCCAAGGTGCTTTGTATGCATGCTTCAGACTAATTATTTCACAATTTTTATTTCCTGATTAATACTTTCAATATTCACCCAGGCATAAACAATGGAATGAATATACTGCTTCTCCCTTCTGTGCACCCCCAAATCCTGTTATGCTGTCTCAACATGATGAGAGGTGTGCTTCCTGGTAAGGATTAGTGAAGAAGCTTAATGAATGGTTGTTAAACAAGGACTACTAGCATATTCATGGAGTGCAATAGATTTTTGGAAGAACATAATGTAAAACAAATACTTTCAGTGTAAAAAGGTGCAGGTACACTATTGAATCTGTAAAACTAATTAAAATTAAAATGTAACTAATACATCTAACCTGTTCCAGATGGAAAAGAACATTAGCTATATCCAGAACCCGTTCCACAGTCTTTTCTGGATCTGAAGTGATATCAGTTCTGTTTGGTAGATCTTTGTAAAGGGCCACCTGCCATCTAATTGCAGGATCTTCAAGCTGCAAGAAAATATATGTGAGATGCTAAAAATATGTCTCAAATTATGAATAGCCAAACAATTGTATATAGACTGTGATAATCTAATAAATCACTATACTTATTTAGCACGTTTAACTTTATGACAGCATTAGAATCATTGCTTACATTTCATAGATATCTGAACATATTTTCGCTCAACACCTGGTGTGCACATATGGATACATGAACAGATGTATACATATATGTGTCAATTTGCACTCATATATAACTTGTTGTTCAAAAGATTAGGTCAGAAGCAATAGTTGTTAATTCTTGAAAACTACCTTGCCCTGTAAATGGAGGTTGTTGCGAATAATATCTCGAACTTCATCCTCTGTGTCCTTCTGTTAAGAAAATATAGCAAATATTTTACTGAAAAATATTATATAAGAAGGGAATAGCTCTTGAAAAATAATTCTAAGCAACTTGCAAAGCTGCATTTTTTCATTATTATGGCATGCATTATAAATATGCAAAATGGTATTAAACCTATTATAAATTATAATAATATAAATTATTATAAATGTTCTTATGAGTTCCATAGTAGAGCAATCTTTACTTGGATGAAATATTATTTTGTAACAGCCATAACAAGAGTAACCTAAGGGAAAGGGTTTCTCCATTTTCCAGCTAGCTCCATTTAGTTAGGATACAGCAGCTATCTGGTATTATTAGTATCTAAGGCACTTCAACTTCATTCATATTTATTTTGAAAGTGTTTTTTTTAATNATAAACTCAGTTTTTGATGGGCTTTCGAATGGTGTATGAATTATTTGTGTTGTTATTACAAGTGTTGCTGTGACCCCCTAGAAAAAGGTTATGCCCCACCCTGTACATACAGTAATAATTTTTAAAGTACCACTATTTCCCAATTATAATCACGTATACCCGCATATAAATAGATTCTTGAAATTTTAACCAAAATAACATGAAAAATGCAAGTTGGCTTCTCTATGGGAGGAACACTTTTCATAGTATTTTAGTTAAAAATTCAAGGGTCACCTTATCCATTAATGGCTTATATAGAAATATATATGGTATGCTGTTTCGGATTCCGGATTTCTAATAACCCAACAGAGAAATATCAATCATGCAATTTCTTCTATACCCTAACCAGTAAGAAAATAATCCTATTCGCTCAATCCTATTTTCTAATTAAATTTGTATAAATGGTTTTCCGCCATTTATTGATGAGAGGTTTTGTAGATATACCTGAATATAAAATTGGATCAAACTATATGAATCAGCCTAATAATAGTACTTTAATGTTTAACTCCACATCACTTTTTCTAGTGACAATTTTTTTTTAGTTTCTATCTATATTTGAAAAGAAAGCAATTTACAAACAATCATTAATATCTTCTCTTTTTTGTCTCACCATTTTTCAGTTAAAGCTGTTCGACTGAATAGTAAAATAAGTTGATGCAAAGGATCAACTCGCTTAATGCATTCATCTTCTTCTGTTGGTTCTGCTCCAGGTTTCTACAGCAAGAAACAGAAGAGTAAGAACATGAAAAGAAAATGTTTGAGATCTGAGACGTAATTATATTTGGACATTACACTGAGAGCCATCGAACTTATTTCCAAACAAATTTATATTAGGTATGCTTGAGAATATGATCTTAAGTTATTTAAATATTAACTGACTTGAATTACATTTCTTGAATTATTATGAAAAACCTAACTCAATTTTTCATAGGTTTGCACACCTTCCAAAATGCTATACCATATTTTGAGTCAAAATACATATTAAGTCATACCAAGTCAATTTAGATTATTGATTATTTAGATGTTGTAGATTAATGCACATTAATGCACACATAAGATAGAAAAAAGGAACTGTCAAAGTAAAACAAATCAGAATTAGGCTGATAATAAATCAGAAAGACATATCACTTTGAAACTCAAATGATATATCATAATTATCAATGTTAGAACTGACTTCTATAATTATACTGGCAAATATAAGGCTAGGATAACAGCTGCAGTGCTGAAAAGAAACAAAAATAGCATATATATTTACAGTTTATGCATCTCGATATAAAAAATTATGGATATCCAAAGTAGCCTCAAAAGGATTTCTTGCAGTTTACAAGAAGCAGGACATATAACTTGTAGTATATCTCCCACTATTTTTCAACTTTTTTTGTGTGGATGAATTTAAAAACCTTGACATTACCAAAATAATGAGCAAATTCTACCATTTACTAAGGGCCGAATTGGCCAGGTTGTATACTGCAATAATTCAAAACAAATAAACAGTTGAATCTTTAAAAGTTCAATCAATTCTAACATACTGCTAAGTCTTCTATCAACGTATCTTCAAAATAATGGTCTTCTGTTTCCACCCAGGATTTATCATATCCCTGAAGAAAAAGATTGACAGCTCGATGCCTTAAAAAAAAAGTCAACAAAATATATGTATTTTAAAATGTATGCCCACTTATTGAATATTCAAAATATTTACTGTAAAAATATCTATCATTATATACAGAAACAGCATATATTTCTCAACTAATTTATGTGAAGAAGAAATAATGTCCCAGTGAACAGACCTTCATGCTAAAGAAAGTATTCCTACATCCTTTTGACATTTCTTTTTCTAAAGCTATTAATGTTGCTGAACTTTGCGCTGTGATTTTGTTATGTTTGTCTTCTCTGTAGAGATCGGACATACCGTGGAAGATTATATAGTGGCGCCATTCTGAAGCAAGCCACCACAGCTCTTTTTCTCTGTTTGGACAAGAGTTTATGCCATACTGCCTTTTTTGATCTTTGAGGATGCTCAACCTACAGAACAAAAAAAATAAAAAATCAGAAATCACTTCATAGATGCTTATTTATTTTAAAGGCATAAGGCTTCCATCTCACATCATTTACTAGGGAGTAAATTCATTCAACTGTATGTGAATTAATGTGAATGAAACTGAATTAAACAGTCATTTAGCCCAATCCTCACAGGATTGTTGTGAGGAAAGCAGGAAGAGGAAGGAGCATTAGGTATGTTTGTCACATTGAGTTATTTGTAAACAATAATAAAAGCAGGATAAAAAAATCCAATAAATAAATAAATTTTATTTTAACTTTTGAGTTAATATGTGTAAAATTTTGCTTCTAAAATGAAATTTTGTAAATATTAGAACTAAATCAAGTTAGCTGAAGTATAGCCTAAACTCCTTCTAAATACACTGGTCGAGAAACATTTTAATTATTATCTTTTGCAGTATTAACTTCAATAATAGAGAAAACAAGCATTTATATCATCTGAGTAAAATCAAATATTGTATAAGCTACAAACTACGAGTACAATATTTTAAAATTGTACTCAATATTTGTCAAACTATCGACAATCATAGATTAAACTGTTAAATTCTAGATATATGCATACCCTCTGGGAAGTTTTAATCAACCTGATACCATAGCAATAATTTGCATTTAAATGCAGGTTTCAGAAATTGTACGTAAAAAAGGTGAAAAAACAAGGTTAAAGCCACAAAGATTAATCTACATACCTAAAATAATGTTCTGTTTGGCTTTACATTTTCTGCATCACTTATTATAGTTAAGAAATTAGGGGAGAAATCTTTTGTTTTCATATACAAGTAGTCATCAATTAATAATTGCTTCATTCAGCGATTGCTCAAACTTTTGATAGTGCTGAAAATGTAGATTTATTACCAATGTGAAATCTTACAATCGTCACAGCATCTCATGGACACATGATCACCATTTGCAACATTCATAGCCAATTGCCACCAAGTGAAGTCAAAGGGATTCCCAATAGAAATTTGCAAATTATTGTCATATAAAATCATGCTTAACAACTACAAGTGATTTGCTTAATGGTAAGTCAGATACAATCACATGATGTTTTATTTAATGATCACATAACTTAGCAACAGTCCCAACTGTAGTTGTTAAGTGAAAACTACTTGTATTGTTTGTTTAGAAAATAAATGTCCTTCTTTTTTGTGGCTCTCAGGTTATGGAATGCGCTTCCCAAGGAAGTACACTTGCTGATAGAAGAGAATGGGTTGCAAGATTCGTTCTGAGCTGATCACTGGGACCAAAGATTTATTCTTCCAAGCTTTCAGGCTCCTGCTGGACCAATCATCCAGAAACTTATCTCTCTCCAGAATCCATGCACTGGGCTATTCTATGCATAAATCAATTAAATCAAGTACTTAGGAGTCAAGGGTGTGGCAGCACAAGGGAAACAACAATCAAGTTGATGGCCAGCCATCAACATCCCAATTAACAACTAAAAGCTACACACAACCAGGAAGCATTCAAATGCAGCACAAATAACAGCCCAGTGCACATGTTCTGGAGAAAGAGAAGTTTCCTGATGATAGGCTCAAACATGAGCCCCAAATCTTGGAAGAATAAATTTGTGGTCCTGGTGACTGACTCAGATTGAATCCTGCAACATTATCCTGGGACACATCTATTTACCTTCATTTGCAAGAGAATGCATCTCAGGGTTGAACTTTGGGGTCCTTGGTGCTCTCTGAACTTGTTGGCTTTCTTGTATTATCAAACCAACTAATATCATCAGTGCTAAATATCCCTGATGATGTTACTTAGTTTGGTAATGAAATGTCTGTAAGAAAACCACCAACCTCAGGGAGCATCCCAGCCCACAAAAATATAGTTGGTCTTCATATTCCCAGTATTTAGGAAAATGAGGAAACTGCCTATTTTTCATCAAATTTTAACTGTGATTTTTAAAATTTATATTGATTTTACTTTTAGAATGTTTTATAATTTTGCCTTTTCTGTGAGCAACCTTAAATGTGCCAACAGAAAAACAGGATAAAAATCCAAAATAGGCAGAATAATCTGTTTTACTGTTTTACTAAAAGAATAGGTAAGGTAATTGGAAGATTATCGTGGATATTTCTAAATTATGCTCACAGCACTTCAGTTTGACTGTCTTCTGAAATAACCAGAATGAGCATATAATTTTCTATATAGAGAATTACAAAGTATTTTTTCACATATAGGATTCTTGAGATGGTGAGTGGCAAAATGATTAGTAGAAGGCATTACAGATTGAGTTATTGGTTGCCCATTATTATGTTACTGCTACTATTTCTGTTTTAAATTAGTTTTCTTTATCCTTCATTTTGCATTTTTGTCCAGGCAAGTAGAGTGTAATTTGTCTATTCTATAAAACATAACCATATAGCAATAGCAATAACAATAGCACTTAGATTTATATACCACTTTACATCCCTCTCTAAGTGGTTTACAGCGTCAGCATATTGCCCCCAATTTGAGTCCTCAATTATCCAAAGATGATGGGTCAACCTTGAGCCTGGTGAGATTTGAACTGCCAAATTGCAGATAGCCAATAGGCAGCAGAAGTAGTCTGCAGTACTGAATTCTAACTACTGCACTACCGGGGCTCATATTGCAATAAAAATAATAATTGTACTAATTCTGTTCCTTTGTCGTAGATTTTTTCCATTATTAATGTCATTACATACTAAATACATACTAAGCCCTGCACAGTAGATAATGTCATTGGCTAATATGGGCAGCTATAGATATTGAATAAATAAATATTTACTCTGAACATAGAACAAAATTATAGTATGCATGATTCATCCTAGAAGGATATATGGAAAGTTGGATAGCTTTTTATAGTAAAACAAACTGAAGAACTTAAAGCACACATTGTGAGGACATAAAATAAATTGATTAGTGCACTGAGTAACTGAAATCCAAATAAGGAAACGTGAATGTTATAACTGAGACAAAGAAAGAGATAAAAGTGTAATACAAAAACCCTCAGTCAGATTAAGTGCAAAACTTTTCAAACATAAGAATAAACCAAAGTGTAGCAAGCAAGTTATGAGAAATTGCACCTAAAAAAAGTAATCACAAATCAGATATTTAGAAATTTAACACATCAAAATGCATAAACAAAATTATTGAAGGCAAAACCAATACATTCCTAACATAACATATGAGCATATACTCTATACTTCCCATTCTGAAACATTTCCGTCCACGATTAGAGAAGTTCTGGAAATAATAAAAGAAAATAATATATAAAGTAGAAAAAAAATCAAAATGATGCATTTAATTTTACATATGTGGATAAAAGAAAGGGTATTAAACTATATATAAAAATATAGTGTAAATGTTGAAACTTGAAAGAGTGTAAATGTTTTTAATACAGCCACTTTAAGAAGAACATGGTGACTGTGTGTGGATGAGGATTAATGTTTTCACCCAGATTAGAATATCAATGATTTTCCCAATCCAAAGATATTTTGATGTGAGATTTCATCACATTCAAGTTGCACTGGTTGGTTGGTTGGTTGGTTGGTTGGTTGGTTGGTTGGTTGGTTGGTTGGTTGGTTTTTATTGCCTTGACTTGGTTATGGAAGAATCCCCTGTTTAGTTAAATATAACTAATTTAAGAATACTAAATTGAATTCTCCAAAAGAGTAAAGGAACTTCAAGAGGACATTTCCTCTTCTTTGGGAGCACAAAGTCAATCACAAATTTCAATCAGAAAAGAGCTGGAAGGGAACTTTGAGATCTTCTAGTCCAACCCTCTGCTCAAGCAGGAAACTCTATACCATTTCAGAAAAGTGACTTTCCAGTCCCTTCTTAAATTAGTTATATTTAA